CCTTAGAGACAGAGGTAGAGAAATCCCATTTATTGATGAGTTTTCAACAATCGTGTGTTCTAATCACTCAAACCAGTTGTTAACCGTTTTTGTTTGTTTTTCTTTTTCCAAACAGTGTTTCTTGGTGTAGCCATGGTTATCTTGGAGCTCACTCTATAGACCAGCCTGGCCTTGAACTCAGAGATCCCCTGCCTTTACCTCCCAAGTGCTGGAATCAAAGGTGTGCACCACCACCACCTGGGTGCCCAGTTGTTAGTCTTTAAAATTACCATTGCCCACTGTAAAAAGGAGTTTCTCCTCCTAGAGCTGATGGGAGCACTATATATAAACATAAACATAGTTATTTGAAGGTCAGTTGATGTCTGCCCATTTAGCAAAATGCCTAGAGCAGCTTTCCTGTAAGGCCTATAACTCCAGCCATAGGATTTTTGACTCAGTTTCCAGTATCAGCCATGAATTCCTTCCCATGGAGCAGAAGTCAAACTCAGTGAGAAAGTGGTTGATTATCTTTTGTTGACTTGGCAGTAGTACACCAGTAGGCTTATTTGCCTGGCCAGTCCATAGTGTTGAATGCAAGCAAGGTACGCAGCGGAGTAAGACTGTTGTTGAAGGTTCTTCCTTCACAGTACCTTCTGGCAGCATGAGGGTTAACCAGCAGGGAAGAGCTTCCAGCCCAACTTGATTTTTCTGTCTTACAAGCAGAGCATGTGTAATCTTCAAAAGTAGCACCTTACCACCTAATTCTAGTGGACCAACCACAGCAAAGGTTATTGCTTGTGTTCTTTGGCAGGGGGTCTGGGGTGGGATAACTGCATCTATGTATACATGTGTATGTGCCTGTGCCCTCAGAGGCCAGAGAGGGCATCAGATCTGCTGGCACTAGAGTTATATACATATGGTTGTGAGCTGCCATGTGGGTGCTGGGAACTGAACCTGGGTCCTCTGGAAGAGCAGCAAGTGCTCTTAACCACTGATGCCTTCTTCTGGCCTCTGTGGTCTACATGCATGTCGTACACCAGACATCTATATAGGCAAAACACCCATACACAAAGTAAAAGTAAATAAATTTCAAAAATTTTTTTAATTTATATTTTTTGAGTCTTTGTAGCCCTAGATGACTTGGAACTCATGTAGATGTGCCTGCCTCTGCCTCCTGAGTGCTGACTATAGGCGTGTGCCACCACCCACAGCATCAAACGAATCTTAACTTTAGGTTAGGCAGTAAATTTGTCAAGAACTTATCTTAGTTTGTATATTATTAGCTTGAATATTAGTTTGTATAAAATACTCTAGGAGTATGTAAATGTTACTTAGTTATATATAACCTCGATTTAATAGAATGTTACTTAGTTATATATAACCTTGATTTAATAGAATGTTGTCAAATTTGAAAAATCAATCAAAATGATAAATGACACCTCATTCAGTATAACCTATCTGGAATGTGCCCAGATCAGTTAACTAGGTGACTATGGGTGTAGGAGCAGTGTTTCTTTCTGTAGCTGTGAGTGTGTGTGTACATACTGTAGGGAGGAGGCTAGAAGGGGGACTTCATAGGATTGAGTTTCTAACACAGTGCTATCCCTTAAAGACTCAAGCTTAGTAATAGGAAAAGTTAACACCTTGGTCTGGAAAGGCTTACTGTTGCTTTCGTAACTGTTTGTGTCCTTTGGAATTTGCTGTTCCTTGCCCACACACCTGCTTTTACTGTGGTTTTACAGAGCACTCTGTAACTGAGACTGAGGATTTTAGATGAGTTGGGAAAGAAGCTGGGTGGTAGCTTTGAAGATGGGACTTACAAAGCATGTCACTGATCTGAATGAGTTCAGGTCCTGTTTGTGCAGGTTTTACTTCTGGGCTTCATTCTGGGCCACTTTCTGAATAACCGAAATGCTGTTAGGTTTGCAAATGCATTTAGCCAGGTGTGATAGCTCATGCCTGTAGTTCAGACTCTGGGGAAACTGAGTTTCTGGCCAACTTGGACTACAAAGGGAGAGCCTATCTCAGAAGACAGTAAATTAAAGAGTGGTGTTGTCCAGATAGATTGTAGGGAAAGATGCTTACTAGGGTGCCTGGAGACCTGGGTTTGATCCTTAGAACCCATGTATAGGTAAAGGAGAAAACCAGCTCAGCAGAGTGATCAATCCTATGACTTCTATGTGCACACCGTGGCATTTTGCCCCCATCCCCAATAATGATTTTTATAAGTTGTTCTGTGTGTATGGGCATTTTGCTTGCATGTATGTCTGCAGTGTACATGTGCCTATCGTCCACGGGCCCAGGAAACGGTGTTAGAGCCCTGGGACCAGAGTGCATCTGTAGATGTTTGTGAGCACTATGTGGGGTTTGAGAATTAAACCTTGGTGCTGTGGAAGAGTAGCCAATGTTCTTAACTGCTGAGCCTTGTCTTCAAGCTCAGTGATAAGTGTCTTTAAAAGCCACAAGAGGGAGCTGGAGAGATGGGCCAGTGGTTAGAGAGTTCAGATTAGAGGACTGGTGTCGGATTCCAGCTCCTACATTGGGTGGCCCACAACCACCTGTAACTCCAGCTCCAGGGAATCTCATTTCTTGGCCTCCATGGGTACCCAGATTCATGTGGCAGATGTTCACCCAAACACACCCATAAATAAAAATAGTAAATCTTAAAAATTAACAAAAGAACAAAAGATAAAAAGTAATAAAATTTAGCCCCTTTATACTGAAATAAAATGTTACCAGTGTTAAATCAGTGCTTGTTTTGTGCCATGTACTGTTTAAGGTATTGTATATTTCAGTAAACAAAGCAGAAAAAAATGTACCTGTTCTCTTTGAATTTGTGTTTTAGGGAGGAATTTAGTGTTGCCTGGTAATGGTCACTGTTTATTTTTACCATTTCTCTTACTCTGTTTATAAACCACCCGTTTGGTGTGGTGGTGGATATGTGGTGGTGGAGAGTAGACCAGTTGCTAGAACTGAGTGTAGATGTCTGACAACAGGAGGAACGTTCTGTTAGTGCACTCGCTTGGCAGAATTGGTTTTGTACATGTGGAGACATTCGGTCTCTAGTAGTGGTTCTGTTCTCTAGGCAGTATTATGCTGTGGTTGATGATCATGAAGCTGGCAAGAAGAAAGCTGATCACCTCAAATAGTGTACTTGTGTGTCTGTATAACATGCTGTTGAAGAAAAATGTAGCTTATTTTTAAAAAAGAAATTTGAAAGAAAATTGGAATTTTAGTTCTGATTCAAAATGAAAGTTTTCAGGAAGGTGGCACCTTAAATTCAGTATCAAAGAGTTATGAATTTACTCCTCTTTTGATGGATTTTAAGTTAAAAAAAGCCGGGCGGTGGTGGTGCACGCCTTTAATCCTAGCACTTTGGAGGCAGAGGCAGGCGGATTTCTGAATTTGGGGCCAGCCTGGTCTACAGAGTGAGTTCCAGGACAGCCAGGGCTACACAGAGAAACCCTGTCTCAGGAAAAAAAAAAAAGTTAAAAAAAAAATTCTGGGGCTGGAGAGATGGCTCAGTGGTTAAGAGCACTGACTGCTCTTCTAGAGGTCCTGAGTTCAAATCCCAGCAACCACATGGTAGCTCACAACCATCTGTAATGAGATCTGATGCCCTCTTCTGGTGTGTCTGAAGACAGCTACAGTGTATTCATATATAATAAATAAATAAATCTTTAAAAAAAATTCTGGTACCCAATATTAAACTAATTTATTTCTTTCTTTCTTTCTTTCTTTCTTTCTTTCTTTCTTTCTTTCTTTCTTTCTTTTTTAAAGTTTTTCGAGACAGGGTTTCTCTACATGTATAGCCTAGGCTGTCCTGGAATTCACTCTGTAGACCAGGCTGGCCTCAAACTCAGAAATCCGCCTGCCTCCGCCTCCCAAGTGCTGGGATTAAAGGCATGTGCCACCACTGCCTGGGTACCCAATATTAAAAACTAGAGGTGGCATCTTAGAATTACAGGTATAGAACAGGTATGGTGGCACAGTCCTTTAATCCCAACACTTGGGAGGCAGGGGCAAATAGGTCTCTTTGAGTTCTTGGCCAGCCTGGACTACAGAGTGAGCTCCAGGGTAGCCAGAACTCACAGAGAAACCCTGTCTCAAACAAACAAACAAACAAACACGAACAGAGAATTTCGGGTTTAGTATTTATTTTAAAAATTCCATCAATGGAACTCAGAGTTAACACTGGCAGGAAGTCACTTTATCTGTTGAGCTATTTCACCAGCTCGGAGGCTTAGTATTTTTTGATGGGCTGGAAACTTTTGAAAATATATTGTTTTATCAGTGTGCTGTAAAGAAGACTGCCAACTAGAAATTAATGAAAGAAATTAGGGTAAGTTGAAAAGACAGAATACATGTCAAAGTTAGTGGTAGAAATGAATAAATAGGCCAGGGCATGGTGGCATACCCAGAATCCTAGCATATGAGAGGCAGAGACAGGAAGATCAAGTTCCAAGTTAGCTGGGCTACACAGAAAGTTCAGGACCAACCTAGACCTATATCATAGTGAAACTCTGACTCAAAAAAACAGAAAACAAATAGACAATTGAGATGAATAAATAAGCTTTGGAATTTGCATTAGACAGTATATGTCTTAGGTTCAGTTCTCTTGCTGCTAGAAAATACCCTGACAAGCCATTTAGTGGAAAGGGGTTCTTAGTTCACAGTTCCAGGCTACTGTCCATCATTGCTGGGAAGTCAAGGCAACAGGAGCTTGAAGCAGCTGCTCACATTATAGTTGAGAGCAGAGGGAGAATAAATACATGCATGATTACGCTCAGATAGCTTTCTCAGTTCTTCTGTTCAGCATTCCTTGCCTAGGGAATAGTGTTGCCAACAGTGGGTAGATCTTCACCCTTTAATTAATGTAGTCAAGAGTTCTAGGACTGTGTCCAAAGGCCAATCTGATTAAGATAGTTCTTCATTGAGATTCTCTTCTTCAGTGATTCTAGATTGTTTCAAGTTGACAATTAGAACTAAACATTCATTATTCTTATTTGATACTGTTTTAGATATCGTCAGATTCTGGAAAAAGCCATTCAGTTATCTGGGACAGAACAACTAGAAGCATTGAAAGCTTTTGTGGAAGCGAGTGAGTAGAATGGAAGAGCCATGCTTGCCTTGTATGCTTGAGTAGTTCTTTAAAGCCTTGTCAGCCTGTTTTACCAGTCAGTGTTAAATGTGCTTTGAGATGAACTTATTCTAAACACTTTAGAGATGGGTTATTTTTTTCAGTGAATTGTCTTCAAAATTGAAATCCCAATTAAGGTTTTATTTAGATACCTTGTTCTTTGCCTTTGCACAAAAATAAAGAAAACAACAAGTAAAATTTTCAAGGGATTTTCCCCAATCTTTTCTTAGAAAACTTACTTTATTTTTCCTGCTTTGCTGTGTTAGATAAGAAATCAGTAAAACCCAGCATAAAGAAACTAACTATGTAACATATGAGAAGAGTATGTTGTAAGTCTCTGAGTGATACATTGCATGTATTGAATGGTAATTTTAAGTAAAATTTAACCGCTTAATGGAAGCGTCCGGATTGTTGATGTTTCCTGTCTTTTCCTTTCTGACCAGTGGTGAATGAGAACGTCAGCCTTGTGATCTCACGGCAACTGCTAACAGATTTCTGTACACACCTCCCCAGCCTGCCGGACAGCACAGCCAAGGAGGTCTACCATTTCACCTTGGAGAAGATCCAGCCTCGGGTCATTTCCTTCGAAGAACAGGTAAAAGTCCAGAGCCCTAGATTTTATCGTTGTTGTTTTGTTCTGTTTTAAAAATCAGGAACTGGGGGGGGGGGGGGGGGTCGAGAGCTGGCTCAGCGGTTAAGAGCACTGATTGCTTTTCCAGAGGGTCCTGAGTTCAATTCCCAGCAACCACATGGTGACTCACAACCATCTGTAATGGGATCTGATGCCCTTTTCTGGTGTGTCTGAAGAGAGTGCAAGTGTACTCATATACATAAAATAAATAAATCTTTTTTAAAAAAGAAAGAAAAAGTCAGGAACTAGAAGCTCCTAATTCCCAGTAATATTTTCTTTGAAACAAGTTTTCATATAATATATATTTTTATTATGCTTTGCCCTCTACCACTTCCTCTCAGGCAGTCCCCCTCCACTCAACTTTATGTTCTTTTTTTTCTCTCTTAAAAAAAAAAAAAAAAAAAGCGAACATTGAGAGGCAGAGGCAGGTCGATCTCTGAGTTTGAGGCAGCTTGGTCTGTGGAGCAAGTTCCAGGACAGCCAGGTCTACACAGAGAAACCCTATCTTGAATAACTTAAAAAACAAAAACCAGAAGCAAACACACATACAAAATCCCCACAAAACCACAGAAATAAAAATCACAACAAGCAAGTAAAACACCAGTAAGACAAAAAGTATCCAAAAAAGCAAAATAAACCAAAAAGTCCACAGAAATATCATTGAGCTGGGTGTGGAGGCTGCTGCCCTTGAGTGTGGCTCCTAGACAAGAAAGACTGATTTTCCCTTTGCCATAAAGGTATCAGTTGTAAACAACTTCTTGGTTAGGTGTAGGACCCCATGTCTGTTTCTGTTTGCTTGCTGGGGCCCTGTCTGTCTTGAACCTGTGCAGGCCTGTGCAAGCTGCCTCAGTCTCTGTGAGTTCATATGGTCACCAGTCCTGTTATGGTAAAACAGTAGGTTTTGAGCTTAAGATCATACATTATTTTTATGATCTTATGCTATTAACTTAAAGCAGATAATTGCTCAGTTTCATATTTTTTATAAAACTGAATCAAACAGCATTTATAATTAAAATCAAGTAAGTATTAGGACAAAACAGCTTCAGCTGGATCGTTAGTAAAGATTTTCTATTCAGTTTTACTTTGTGTATACCAACATGTACCTCTGTGTACAGATGGGGATCAGAGGACAACTCTGTGGAAATAGTTCTGTTTTTCCATCTGTATATGAATTCTGTGGAGCAAACTCAGCTTTGTAGGCTTTTGTATAGCATTGTACCTTGACCAGTCTCATTAGGCCTAGTAAGACTGTTAAAATTAAAAACTTAGGAAATCTCCAACATCAAGTATGTAGCAACGCAAAAGCAAAATTTAATACTGGAAAAAATGTTGCCAAAATGTGCAGTGCAGAAATGTGTTGTTTAAATTTTCTATTTTCATATTCTGTGAATACAAACTTGATAAAAGTAAAAAATGGGTGATTGTACATAAACCTGCAGCTTCCTATGTTGGATAAGAGCACTGTTTGAGTAACATCTGTATCTGTCATTCTAGGTTGCTTCCATAAGACAGCATCTTGCATCTATTTATGAGAAGGAAGAAGACTGGAGAAATGCAGCCCAAGTGTTGGTGGGGATTCCTCTGGAAACAGGACAAAAGTATAGTAAACAGTGGACTTGGATGAGTGTCACTGATGTGTTGTCTTAAGCCCTAGCACAGGAGGTACAACTATTTATAGTGCATTAGATGCTAGTAAGTACTTCTCAAAGACTGACTGACTTGTCTGAGGGCACACGTCTCTTTTAGAAGGAGTGTTGTTAAGACAGAGGTCTAAGGTGCCAACATATTTGTAGCATTTTCTAAGGAAGAATAAGAATACCAGTGTTGGTAGAGTGAACACCAGAAAAGACGGAATGAAATCAGCCCTAGAGATTGGAGTCCCCTGAGTCTTGAAGCCATTGTAAGGTCTTTGATTCAAAGAAAACTGAGAGTGCCAGGCAAGATAGTACATATCTTTAATTCTACCACTGAGGAGCCAGAGGCAGACAATCTCTCTGAGTTTGAGGCCAGCCTGCTGTACACAGAGAGTAACAGACTAGCCAGTACTACATAGTTTAGCCCCTAACTCCAAGAAAAAGTGAAATGAGAGTGAGCTATTGGATGCTTTTGAGCAGAGAAGTGACATGGTGTGATGATGTGTTTAAGGAACCACTGAGTCCTGGGTGGGGACTCACGTGCTGGCAGCAGCGGTAGACACCGGATGCACCACCACAGCTGGGGGAGCTTCTCAGAGACTCGGTCTGCAGAGTTCCCATGTGGACTACAGAAAATGAGTCCTGAAGTTTTGGCCAGAGCACAGGAAACATGAAGTTGCCCTGCCTTGTGGGGATCAGATTGTGAGGGAAGATGAAGGGTACATTTGGGATTGTGATAAGCAAGTGAAGATACCTGATAGAGAGTGGAGTGTTTTGTCTAGAGGAAGTAGAGCAGTCTAGGCTACAGGTAGACATTTGGGAGCCCCTGCCTACTAGACTGGATTGACCCCTTTCCAGAGGAGGAGAGGTTGCAGATAGAGAAGAGGAGTGAGGCCTGGGGCATTGCAGTCCTAAGAGGTAAATGATAAAGGTGTGCTCCTCCTTGGAACCCATATGAGGGAAAGAGCAGGGATCAGACCTGTGCTGAGGAGTACTGGGTAAGCATTCGTCAGGTGTGGAGGCAGGGGTATTTGACAGGAGCTATGGTGGTGAAGCTGGTGGGAGCTGAAGCTGACTGGGAAGAGTAAATGGAAACAGCTCTTTGGAGTTTTCAGAAAGAACCAAACAGAGACAATAATTAGAGTAGGATAGAAACCACAATGAAAGTTAGACAGCAGTTCCAGGACAGCCCAGGCTATGAAGAGAAACCCTGTCTCGAAAAAACCAAACCAAACCAAACAAAACAAAAAAAACAAAAAAACAAAGAAAGTTAGATGGCTTTATTTTATAATCCATTGGAAATCAAAAATTTTGATAATTGACGCTGGGTTAGTGGTGGTTGCCTTTAGTTCCAGCACTCGGAAGGCAGAGACAGGCAGTTCTCTTGAGTTCGAGGCCAGCCTGGTCTACAAAGAGAGCTCCAGAATAGCCAGAGTGACATAGTTGAGACTTAGTCTCAGAAAATAAAAAACAGGACAAACTACTGATGCTGAGGAATTGGTAAAGGAGTCTCACGGGAATGTATGAACAGAAGGGAATCCAGTAGTGATGGGGGCATTTAGACTGATGTAGCCTTTGTCTAAGGGCTGTCCTGTACGTAAGGTTATCAGCTTGGTTCTTCTTTCTCAGGACAGCAGCAGTGCTGTGCCCTGTAACAGAAATGCCAGATGTCCCCTGGTGGGCAGATTGTCCCAGCGATGTGAAGGGACAGCCAGAGCACAGGACAGGCTGTGCGTTAGTGACAGTGGAGTTGGTGCAAGTTTTCCTTGATGGCTTCTCTCAGTGAACAGAGCCAGTGCAGCAGTGACAGGCCTGGGCTGTGAGACTGAGAGGACATGGGAGTGTAACTGTGGATGAAGGGGACTCCTTAAGAAATTAGTCAGTGTCATTTTTAAAGTAATGAAAGGATTCTCTGATAAAAAATTGAAAAATTAAAGCCTAGCATGATAAAACAGTTCATATGGATTTGAGTCGTGAATGGGAAACAGAAATTGCTGGTAATAAATGAATCCACAGAAACCTCTTCCATGACCTGTCCTTCCCCCAAACAGCAAAACAAGGAAAGGCTTCATTTCACAGTGGGAGCAAGCTGAATTCTAAGGATTTTTTGTTTTGCTTTGTTCATTGGTTTTTTTGTTTGTTTGTTTGTTTTTGGTTTGTGTGTGTGTGTGTGTGTGTGTGTTTTTTTTCTTGCCACAAGGCTTTACTGCTTTGGCTGTCAAATAGAAAAGATTACTTTTCTTTGAGGATTAATCTTGAATTACGAGTTTGGAATTATTGAGGCCTCCAGTTGTTCACTTCTGGAATAAAATATCATCTGAGGAGGGAAGAGACTGAAAACTGCCTGTAATTCACTCCAACCCTGTAAACTCACCACAGCCCTGCACACTCTACAACTCTAATTGAGATTATATTTTGTTTGTGTAAAAATGCATTTTACTTGGATGGCAGATATATTTTAATGATGTTTAAGATACTATTGTATTCCATATCTTATGTTTTGACATAGAGTCTCAATACCTGACTGGGCTAGAACTTGGTATGTAGGCGAGGCTGACCTCAAACTCACAGAGATCTGCCTGCCTCTGCCCTCAGAGTGCTTGTATGAAAGGTGTGTGTCAGCACGCCTAGCCGTAGCCCACGGATTCACTTGAAAGAAAATAGTGTCTGTAAGCAGCGCGTGAGGACCATAGCTGTGTACTTCCTACCTTGTTACACGCCAGAGCTCGCCTCCTGTAAAGCCTATCACAGCCATTTTCATTTTTTCCTAACATAAATAATAATTTTACAAGTTAATTTCCAGCCGGGCAGTGGTGGCACACACCTTTAGTCCCAGCACTTAGGAGGCAGAGGCAGGCGGATTTCTGAGTTCGAGGCCAGCCTGGTCTACAGAGTGAGTTCCAGGACAGCCCGGGCTACACAGAGAAGTCCTGTCTCGAAAAAAAAAAAAAAAAAAAAAAAGAAAAGAAAAGAAAAAAAAAAGAAAAACAAGTTAATTTCCTTGTAATAAGTAGGTGAGCCCATTCCTTATTGTGTCTAGTAGGATCTGATAATCCAGAAGTAAAGTATAGTGGATTAAAAGCATACACATTTAAAGAATTCAAAGCATAATTGGAGAGTTCATTGCCAGCCTGGTCTCCTGGCAGGCTGAGCCTGGATGCAGTACCACAGTAGTGTCCGATACGCCTGAGACTTGGCCCTTGTGTCTTTCTCATTTGTTTGTTTGCTTATTTGTCCTAGACAGTACAACGTAGATTATAAGCTGGAGACTTACCTGAAGATCGCAAGGCTATACCTGGAGGATGATGATCCTGTCCAGGCTGAAGCTTACATAAACCGAGCATCCTTACTTCAGAATGAGTCCACAAATGAACAGTTACAGATACACTATAAGGTAACAACAAATGAGCTGATTTGTATTGATGAGTTATATACCAGGATGTTTCCATACATGTGATGAATGTTGATATAGTTCAGAAACTCTCTTTGCCTCTTGTCTTTGACCATCCAGTTTTCCCTAATTGGAGCATTTTCCCTCTGTAGGTTTGCTATGCACGTGTTCTTGATTACAGAAGGAAATTCATTGAAGCTGCCCAAAGGTACAATGAGCTCTCTTACAAGACAATAGTCCATGAAAGTGAAAGACTAGAGGCCTTAAAGCATGCGCTACACTGCACCATCTTAGCATCGGCAGGTAAGCATGTGATTTAGGCTTCAGTGAAATGAGTTGTCTCTGCTAATAACATTAGGTGGCAACAACTGGAATACTTCTTCCAAGTTCTGGCAAGGAACACTTCTTCCAGGGGTGTCTCAGTACAGTTAAAGTAAGTTAAACATGAAACAAAACCAGTAATAAAATAAAACTTAGGTGACTGTATCAACTTGTTGCCCACACATTAAGAATACTTTAAAGAGGTAAGTTTATTTTTAAATTTTCACAGAAAGAGAAAATGGTTCTTTTTTTGTTTATTTTTTATTTTTTTTTTTTTTGTTTTGTTTTTGTTTGAGACAGTATTTCTCTGTATAGCCCTCGCTGTCCTGGAACTCACTCTGTAGACCAGGGTGGCCTCTTAACTCAGAAATCCGCCTGCCTCTGCCTCCCAAGTGCTGGGATTAAAGGCATGGGCCACCACCGCCCAGCGAGAAAATGGTTCTTAAATGAGAACTACAGAGGAGAAAACAACGGTTAAAGTCTAGAGATTGTGTCAGTAAAATGATTCCTTCTGTAGCGGCTGCTTGTTGGCAAGCCTGATGAGCCCTGTTTGACCCCAGGACCCACGAGGTGGAAGGAGAGAGGTGATTCCCGAAAGCTGTGTCAAACCTCCACAGGTGTATCACAGCACTGCGAGTCTCTCTAGACACAAAAGAGATAAATGCTCTACCATCTTAAAAGATCTATAGTCTTCTGCTTTCAGGGTTTTTAAATCTTTAAGCTTCCTTTCAGACTAGCATTCATTCTTTTCCTCAATACATGTAAAGTTTTTACTAAATTGTAGCATAGAAAGCACACAGCTTTTAAATATAAAAGACTGTTGTGAAGGAATGTTAATCCTAAACCATGGCTTTTCTAAATCATCTCAGTCCTCCAAGGTCTGTAGTCAGCTGAGAGCTCATGACACGTTTACTACTCACACTGAACACTCCCTCTCCCTTTTTTTTTTATTTTCTATTTTTTATTTATTTTTTGACACAGGGACTTTTTATTTAGTCTTGGCTGTTCTGGAACTCCATATATGGATCAGGCTGGCCTCCAGTTTACAGAGCTCTGTCTGCCTCTGCCTCCAGAGTGCTGGGATTAAGGCTTAAACCACCACTTATCTTTTCTTGTAACTAAGTACCAGCGCTTGTTACATCTTAGTACATTATACAGATTCACTTTGCTGTTCTATTGTTTTATCCTCCAGGCATATCCAACCTGTAGCCCATAAACGGTATGCATCCAAGGATAGCTATAACTGATGTCCAACATGAAATTACAAACACTCCTAAAATACAGAGGGGTTTTTGTTTGTTTGCTTGTTTTTGGTTTTGTTTTTTTTTTTTGTAACTCAATTCCATGGTTCTCCAGGTGAACTTTGTAGTTCTTAAGATTATTTCAGTATCAAAAGATTAGACACACCTGTATGAACAGGAATGAGTTTATGGATAGGTTAAACTCCTAGTTCCAAAGAAACATATTTTTAATATTTGGATAGAAAGTGTACATTGTGCTGTAATGTTACATCACTGCAAGCAAAGATGTTCGTGATGTAGACCATGGTGACCTGGAACACAGAGAGTCAGTCTCCTGCCAGCCTCTGCCTCCCACGTCTTCCCAGCATGACTTGGGTGTGGTCCCATCAGTGTTTCAGTAGTCTCTGTATTCTAACATAAAAAGATAACCCTTCTGTGCATCAGGAGTACAGTAGGTTCCCAGCACTGGAAAACAAAGCAAAAAATATGCTACAAATGAGCTCTTAACGATTTTATAAATATTCTTATTCCTTTTAATAGAATACTGTCTTAGGATTTTTTTATAAAGTTTTTATGTGTGTTTGTTTAATAAGTATGAGTGTTTTTTCTACATGTGTGTGCTTTGTGCCTACAGAGGCCAGAAGAGAATACCTGATCTCCTGGAACTGGAGGAAATAGACTTCTGTTAGTTGCCGTGTAGGTGCTGAGAATGTAATTAGGGTACTCTGGAAGAGCAGCTCTTAGTCACTGGCCATCTCTCCAGCTCCTCAGTTAGTATTTCAATTGCTGTGATAAAACACCAGGACCAAAAGCAACTTGAGGAGAAAAGGGTGTGTTTTACTTATATATCCCAGCTCTTAGTCCACTGGGACAAGCTCCAGGCAGAAACCTAGAGAGCAGGAACTAAAGCAGAGGCCATGGAGGGAAGCATCTGTCTGATTTGCTTCCCATGGCTTACTCAGCTTGCTTTCTCCGGCCATCCAGAACCAGCAGCCCAGGGGTGCCCCCCCCCCCACACACACACACAGTGAACTCGCCTCTCCTATAGTAGTTACTATCAGGAGAAATGCTGCCACAGGCTTGCTCGGTGCAGGGGAGTCTAGTGAAGACATTTTTTCAGTTGAGGTTCCCTCTTCTAAATAACTGTAGCTTTATCAGTTGGCATAAAACTAGCCAGGACAAATAACAAGATTTAGACACTGGATGTTCCTACAGCTACCAGGTGTAGGTGTCCTTGTGACAGAAGAAAGCGGCTACTGACAGCATTGTTTCCACTCACTTGGTATAGTCACCAGGTATTTAAAGGCTCTAAAATGTATTCATTGAGACAATATAGTTTCTTAGCAGGGAGGTATTTTTGTTTTCTGTTTCTGAAACACAATCTTTCTGTTCAGCTTTGCTGACCTACAACTTGCTATGTAGTTTAGGCTGGCTTCAAATTGGTGAACCTCATGCTTCAGCCTTCCTGGTTCTGGAATTACAGAAGTGTATTCCATGCTGGGCATATTTTTTATTGACTAAATAATGCATTAGTATAAATACACAAGAAGAAAATAGAAATCACCTGGGTTTACAACCCCCTGGACCATTTTTTTTTTTTTTTTTTTTTTGGTTTTTCGAGACAGGGTTTCTCTGTATAGCCCGGGCTGTCCTGGAACTCACTCTGTAGACCAGGCTGGCCTCGAACTCAGAAATCCGCCTGCCTCTGCCTCCCGAGTGCTGGGATTAAAGGCGTGCGCCACCACCGCCCGGCTCCCCTGTACCATTTTGATCTCTACTCTGGTCCATTATGTGAATATTCAATTATTCTCACATATCTATGTTTTTTTTTTTTTTTTTTTTTGCTAGTGATTAAAATTTATTTTGAAGTAACCCAAACTCTCAGTTTTTCCATCATTCCAGATATTTGCAGACTAAGTAGCAAAATGAGTTACCCAATTCCTGTCTCCAGTGAGAATGGTCTCACAGTGCTCTGCCTCTTTGTAGCCCAGCTTTTAACCTGTAAGCAAGCATTCTTTTGTGGGCTACTCAGGGGCTCCCTCTCTAGTTTTGTGCCCTTTATTGGTGAGTGGCGAGTTTGCTGTTAAAATGGTCCCCTGATGGACTGCTGGATGGTCTCTAGTGCTGTGTGTGTGTGTGTGTGTGTGTGTGTGTGTGTGTGTGTGTGTGTGTGTGTGTTTAGGTGTAGGTGTAGGTGTTGGTGGGAACTAGGGGTGGACAACAAAGTCTTTCTGTGTAGTCTTGGCTGACCTGTGACTCTGACTGGCCTCAAATTACAGGCATGCACCACTATGCCCTCTAGTGTTGATAAGTATAGACAGTCTGATGTGGAGATTTTTGTGTGACATAATAGTATCCTGTAAGCTTTATTTTCGCCAGAATTGCAGAGTTAGCTGTGAGTTCAAAGCTAATGAATTAACTATATATGTTAAGTAAGGGTCTAAACAGAAGCATATGAAACAAAGTTGCAGATTGATTAAAGTTGACAAAAAATTGACTAGGGGCTTAGAAGAACTTAATTCTGTATGTACAATAGAAGCAGGAGCTCAGCATTAACTGTGTGGTACAATGACTTTCTAGAACATTCTACAAATTATACTACATATATATTAATGGGGATTGTCTGTTTTTTAGTAAGCAAAAATGGGATCATAGAAGTGATTGTTTTTGTCACTGAAGAAACACTTAGATCATTTGACACTCTGTGTTTCCTTAGGACAGCAGCGCTCCCGGATGCTGGCTACTCTGTTTAAGGATGAAAGGTGCCAGCAGCTGGCTGCGTATGGAATCCTAGAGAAGATGTACCTGGACAGGATCATCAGGGGGAGCCAGCTCCAAGAATTTGCTGCAATGCTGACGCCTCACCAAAAAGCAACGACGGCTGATGGTAATGACCGTGTCTTACATGTATGTGGCAGGGAAGATTTAGGGATAGATTAGTAGAACGTATGTTATATTATTATTTCCAAGTAATACTTCCTGATTAATAAAAAGAGGACTATGGCCCGATAATGAATATTAAACACCAACATAGGTTTGTGAAACAATCTAAAATAATCCCTATTGGAAAGCATTTTATAAAATAATGCATTTTTTCTTCTTCTTTTTTAAAAATCTTGTTTGTTTGAAGTTTGTGGAAACTGAAAAATTATAGTGTGTACCTATGGCACCTGGATTTTAAAAAGCTTAAATAAGCCATTGGTAAATAACACTAAATAACAGGTTGTATTAGAGCATAATTATCCATTCTTGATTAAGGGTAAAATTTAGCTCAGTAGCTTGCCCAAGGTTCCTTGGGGTAAAATGCTGCAATTAAGAATAGGTTTCCTTGCCCGGCGGTGGTGGCCCATGCCTTTAATCCCAGCACTTGGGAGGCAGAGGCAGGCGGATTTCTGAGTTCGAGGCCAGCCTGGTCTACAGAGTGAGTTCCAGGACAGCCAGGGCTACACAGAGAAAACCTGCCTCAAAAAACAAACAACAACAACAAAGAATAGGTTTCCTTTTATAGTTTGTGGGTAAATGATGTGTTTGCTTAAATCTTATTTTTCTTAACTTCTAGAAAAATTAATTTGTAACCCAGCAAGTAGTATGTATGGACTTTAATTGAAGCTAATCCTCCTGTTTTGTTTTAACTTTAGAATTTTTAATTCTCTGTATAGTTTAAGCGGCCATGATTTAAAACAAAAATGTCTGATGTACAAATTAGTTAAAAACTAGGTAGAATATTTCCAGAATTAATATAGTTGATCTTCAGATTTGACTTTGAGCTTTCTAGCCATGGGAAAAAAAAGTAGAAAAATCTGCTCCATGGGTTCTCTCGAGAGTGACCAGGTCTGTGTAGAGAGAAACGGTACTTGTCTGCTACCCTCATCTGAACTAGTCCGGAGCTAGCAATCTGTTGTTGTTGTTGTTGTTGTTGTTTTAGATCACAATCTCGTTTTTAAAAAAATCATTTAATGTAACCAGGCAGTGGTGGCATATGCCTTTAATCCCAGCACTTGAGTTCGAGGCCAGCCTGGTCTATAGAGTGAGTTCCAGGACAGTCAGGGCTATACAGAGAAACCCTGTCTCGAACCCAACCTCCCCCCCCCAAAAAAAAAAAATCATTTAATGTATGTGAGTACATTGTCTTTGTCTTCAGACACACCAGGAGAGGGCATTGGATCCCATTACAGATGGTTGTGAGCCACTATGTGGCTGCTGGGAATTGAACTCAGGACCTCTGGAAGAGCAGTCAGTGCTCTTTGCCGCTGAGCCATCTCTCCAGCCTCCTGAGTTAGCAATTGTAAGACATAGTGTCTGGTTTATTTTTAAATTTAAAGTATGTTCACTGGTTTTCATTCTGTCTCCAGTCATGTAGCATTAATGCTGATACATTTCTTGCCCTATAGATTTGCCTGTTCTGGACATTTCACATGAACAGAATCATAGTGATGTTGTTATGGCTTCTCTCACTTAGTGTCATGCCTCATCCATGTTATTAGTGTTCATTGCCAAGTGGTGTTCTAGTATGTGGATGTAAGTTGATGGAGAAGAGGATTGTTTCCACTTGGAGGCTATTAATATTGCTGCTATAAGGTTTTGTGTTAAAGTTTTTACATGTGTGTGTGTTAATGTGTGCATGTGTACAGTCTTTCCCTTCTTCCTTCCTGTTCTTTTGTGCTTGAGATTGATTTTATGGCCTTTAATGGCAAACGTTCTACTACTGGACCAGTCTGCATCCCCATCCTTGGTAAATCACTTTTTATCTTCCTTCCTTCTTTTTGTTTTTTTTATTGTGATGGAGTGGTGAGTGGTTATAAGAAAGGATTTTGTAGAATACTTCCTTGAAGGTCTCTAAATATCCCTGTTACAGCAACTGGTCTGTAGTTAGATGCTGAACATAGTGATCACAAAGAAGCTAGGAAAGGCCAGCCGTTCAGGGCAGGGTTGAAGACTTCGTAAGGGCATTCCTTAATTTACAGGAGGATTCTGTTTCTGAACTCCTGTGAAAGAGTGGCTAACCCTACCTCTGAGATATACCCCATGTTTGCCTCACAGTAAGGTGCTGTGGATGACCAAAGAGTGAGCTAAGGAGCTGGAAGGTGTCATCAGTAAGAGTGCATACCAGCTACCTGTGACTGCTACAGACACGTGAACATCTGCCTCCATGTTCCCCTCTCTCCTTCCTCTCCCCTCGCTCCTCCTCTTCCTTCTCCTCTCCTCCTTACTCCTCTTTTTTCTCTCCTTACTTCTCCCACCTTAGCTCCTCCTACACATCCGTCCCATAGCAATTGCTCACCAGCTACTCAGATGTTACCTCCCTGACATAATCCCTCCCAGAGTAGCTAAAGTCAGGCTGGGTCGTGGCCTACAGTGTGAGAATACAGACCACTGTGGTGTGCAGGGCATGAGGACAGGTGTGAGGTGGCAGGACCCAGAACAGTCTAAGTGCTCCCTGGCTTTCTCCTTTTCAGTCTAGAACCCCAGCCCAGGGAATGGCATGCCCACCTTCAGGGTAGCCCTTTGCTCTTAAATTAAACCTATCTGGAAACACCCTCACAGACACACCCATAGGTATTTTTTTTGTTTTGTTTTGTTTTTTGTTTTTTTGGTTTTTCGAGACAGGGTTTCTCTGAGTAGGCCTGGCTGTCCTGGAACTCACTCTGTAGACCAGGCTGGCCTCGAACTCAGAAATCCGCCTCCCTCTGCCTCCCAAGTGCTGGGATTAAAGGTGTGCGCCACCATCGCCCAGCACTAACTTTCTAAATACTGTATTTTATTTAATTGTATATAAACTGTAATTGTAAATATACCCTGATATATTAGCGCTCGCCTTTAATCTTAGCACTTGGAAGGCAGAGGCAAGCAGATTTTCATTTGAAGCTGTCCTGGTCTACAGAGTGAGTTCCAACGGGACAGCCAGGGTAACACAGAGAAAATCTGGCTGGAAACAACAACAACAACAATAATAATAATATCAAATGTAAGTGTTGATACGAGGTATAAAGCTGATTATTACATGGCTAGAAATAAAAATAAAGGTAAATCTTTTTAAAGTATAAAACTAGTTTCAAACATTAATGAGTTTATTTATGTCTGTTTAAGGTTCCAGCATCTTGGACAGAGCTGTTATTGAGCATAATTTGTTGTCAGCAAGCAAATTATATAACAACATTACCTTTGAAGAACTTGGAGCTCTTTTAGAGATCCCTGCAGCTAAGGTATTTTTTTAATTCAATACTTTATATCAGGGAAATTGAAGGCCCAAACTGTTGAAGTAGCGGCAAGATCGTACTTGAACACGTGCGTCAGTACAACAAAGGCTACACGTTTTAAAGCCGGGG